CAACACAAGCAATCACTTTCAAGCCTTGGGAAAGGGCATAAGCAACTTTATCTCCAACAAACTGGATCAATATACGAAATGTACAATACCAGTGACTGACAGATGGTATGAGCGGGAAGCCAAAGTATACTGTATCACCATGACATATGTTTACCTCTTTAGATTCATTTAACAGAAGTCTTCTCTCAGAGTGTCCAAGAATAACCCAAGGAATGCCCAAATTGACTAGCATCTCAGCACTGTATTCGTTTGATGTAAGATAAATGACACGAAAATAACAAAAAATATACATTAAAGAGAGTGAGACAAAAACCAAACTCATGGATATATACAGTGACGGAGTCAGGAATTTTTTTTGGGGGGGGCCAAAATTTTTTCCTAATAAAATTATCTTAATATATTATGTTCAAAATAATTTTCTTCTATTTAAATATATGACATCTAAAAATATCAAATATTAAATTTAATTATAAAGGTACGTCTATTCATAAATATACGGTACAGTCATAACAAAAATTAACAAAAAAGATAATCTTTGATTAAATATCTTATAACATTACAAACCATCCAATTGCACATTATGAGAAGATGCTCTCCAATATGTCACCTATGCAATATATATATATATATATAACCATGTAATATAAATATAACCATTTTCAATTGAAAAAAGATAAAAGTTATGTTAACATATTTTGAAATTTCAACATCTTTTCTTAGAAGTAAATTGAGCTCTACGCTCTTTCATAGAACTAAATTCATCTATGATTGAATCACTGCTAAATTTTTCAGCAACTTCCTTTTCTATATACACAATTAGATAATCATTTAAGAAATTATCTTCCATCTTGTTTTGGAGCTTTGTCTTGATTATTTTCATAATTGAAAATGCCCACTCTGTAATTGCAATCGATACAGGAAGAGTAAGAACAAGTCTAATCAATCTATCAATAAGAGGATATATCACTGATTTTTTTGTCTTCACCAAGCCTTGACATAACTCATGAATACCAGATAATTCTTGCAATTCATGATGATTTGGAATGTCGAGTTCAAAATGTTGAAGTTCTATTTTTAGACGTACTAGTTCTTGCTCCATAAAATCATTCGGATAGAACTTCTCTGCAAGTTTACAAATATCATCAATCTTGAACAGCATAAATCCATTTCTAGGATTTAAAGTAGTGCTCAAAACAAGCAATTCCATGATATGATCATTAAACCTGCTATGTAACTCTTGCAATTGATAATCAATTGTTGCAAGAAATATATCCATTCGATAATAATGCTCCACACTAATCTCATCATGATGACTTCGAGATCTACCACGTCTTGCAATATATTGAGCATTCATACATGGGATATCAATTTGATGTTGCTCAAAAAATAATTTAACGTTCACCAAGAAATCATCCCATCCCGAATCTCGAAAATTCTTCAGTAGCTTTGTTGTGCTTGAGACAAGATATATTGCATTCAAAATATCTTGAGATTTATGTTGCAATGCTATACAAAAAAGATGAGTAATTTCCACAATATCTTTTATAAGATGTAAAGTGAAAACAAGCTTAAAAGATAACAACTGATTCAAAACAAAATTTGCATCTCCACGTTGAGAGTATGAACCTCCATCTACTGCAATGTTACTTAAAACCACACAAGTAGCATTGAACATTTTCAGTAAACTAGTAATAGAATCCAAATGAGAACCCCAACGAGTATCTCCAGCTCGTTTTAAAGTGCCAATTTGATTAAGCCCCCTTCCAGTTTCAAGTTCACCATTAGCAATCTTAGTAGCAACTTCAATTGCTTGAATCTCCTTTAATTCATCATTACATTTGCTAGATGTAGTAACAATGTTGATAATGAAAACTAAATTGGAGAAGAATTGGTGAACAGAAACTACTTCTCTAGAAGCTGCAACTAAAGCAAATTGAAGCCTATGAGCCAAACAATGAATGTAACAGGCATATGGACATTCATGGCAAATTAAAGCTTGCAAGCCATTCCATTCAAAGATGACTAATTCATATACATATATATATATATATATATCAACTCTCATAATATAAACTAAAATTGTAAAAATTAACTCTCATAATGACTAAAATTAGGAGGGCCAATTTTATTTTACACACATATTTATATATTATGAATTAAAATTCTCAAAACTTAGGGGGGTCATGGCCCCCCTCTGCCCCCCTTGGCTCCATCATTGCAAACAGGTGAGAACATTATCTCACGAAACAGCTCTAGAATACACATGGGTTTTTACGACATGCAAGGCAAGTGCGTTTGCTCGTGTACTTCTTGATGTTTGTTGCTTGATACAATCAGTTTGGATAACTAGATACTAACATTTTTGTAGTGCTCTTTCTTTTTTAGGAGGTATACAGTTTTTTTTTTTTGAAAAATAATTTGATTCCCTTGAGAATCATAGGCTGTTTCTTTGTTGAACACTTACTGATTTCTTCCTTCCTCTCTTTGGTGCCGGAACATTTACTTGGATAATTATAGTAGTCTGTGGTATATCTGTTCTCAAGTTAGTACGTTTCATCTCTTTGACATGGCATAAGGTAAACATCAGTTGCTTTCTATCACTGGCCGCCGGAATCCCCTATATATAGGGGGTTTTCCGGCGGCTTGGGGGGGGGCTTAAGCCCCCACCAGCCCCCCCTTAAATCCGTGGCTGGATATATACATAAAACAACCAATCGTTGCATCTAGATCAATGCTAAGTAACTGAAGAAAATACATTCCAACCTTGAATTTGTGAAAAGAAAAATCAGCCTAAATGACAGGCCAAGATAAAAACTTCTGACACCTTCTCATTCAAAAGTAACATCTAGAAAGGGCCTTAATGCTCAAATATATACTTAAAATATACACCTGGAGAAGTACTTGAATACAAATGACAGTGTTGTAAATCCATGTAAAAAAAGTTAGTTTCTGACAAACTTTGCCGAACATGAACAGATATTCTGTCAAAATAATGATATTTGATGACAACAAAAATATCTATCATCAATGTGAAATTCAACCAAAAGCATTCTCAATGCAATCTTGTATCAAGAAGCATTAGAGAACAATACAATCTGGAAAATGTCAAGGCAAATCTTAAAAATGTAGAAAGCATTCGAGAACACTAGATATCTGCAAAATATTTAGACAAACTTTAAAAAGAAGATTGATGATCATGCTAAACACACCTAACCTCGCCCGTGAAAGCGCCTCCTTTCCTGACCCAACAGTTTTGTGCAGCAATAGAGAAATCAGGTCGCAGCAAGCTTTTCACGATAGGAAGAAATACAAATGGGGGACTGACAACCACATCTACAAAAAATAAGTAAGCCCACATACGAAAAGCTGGATTACATGCAAAAATTTCAATTACAGATAACAATTAACAACCCGGTTTTTTTTTGGGGGGGGTGGGGTGGGAATTCAAATGGGGTCAAACTAAGAACATATAGCCACGCGGCAAAAGTTTAAGCCTGGAAAGAACTTGGTTGTAAATATATTAAAATTCACAGTAACTCCACGCCGTCAAAGTTTCCATTGTGAGACTCTTGGAAAGAGAGACGCCTTGCAGAAAGGAAAGATTTTTATTCAAATTGAAAGCATGAATGTGAATTCATCAATTAAACTTGTTATCTTTGAAAACAGAACAGCAAGAAAAAACAGTACTCTAGTATTTGCTCAACATTGCTTTTCCCTTAAAAAAAACTAAAAAATTCCTTACCGACATCATCTTCTGAAGGAACTTCAGCTTCATTCAACATGCTCACAATCTTCTTCACCTCATCAGTTGTACCGTTCTGATAAGATTTTTAAAAAATGATCAGAATAAACTTCCCCACCCACATTCATCAGGGAAGAGAAGAATAAGTTTTAGAACATACGCATTTCCAGTTGCCGCCGACGAAGAATTTCCGGCCCATTTTTGGTCAGGGGCAATGCACTTGCAATATTCTTCCAGATGGTGCTGCACAGACCGTCGCCAGTCTTGGTTACAGCCTGTCCTTTATACGGGGGCCACAACTTCGGGAAATTTATACTTTCAGCCCCTCAATTATAACATGGTTGAACTTCAGTCCCTGCATTTTTTTCTCTCTTTATTATTATTATTCCTTTTCTTTTAATTTTGACAAGTGTATTTAAAACTAATCAAGAAAGTTTCTATCACAAATAAATTTATTTGGAGCATTGATCGTTTATATACATTATCGTAAATATACCTTGCAGTTCAAGAGAAAACTGTATATGAATATAGACGAAATGACCATCACTGATAATAAGCAATGATGGGTCGATCCAATCAAATTCAAACAATTTCAACTCATAAACAAAACCGCCATGGTGGTAGTCTCCACTGTTACTCATCCAAAATCTTGTTCAATTTCTGCAACTGGATACAAGATAAGTAGGCATCCCGTCTTCACTTAATCACTTCTCATTAGCACAATCTCATCTCAGACTTGTAAACTCAATGCACTACTTTGGTTTTGATATGCAAGTGCTTGCATTGGTTTTCAGTTGTACTAGATTATAGAGAAATCCAAGCTCAGGAGAGTGAGGTTATTCGACTCGAGATAATTGGATGGTGTAATAAGCGGAGCCTTCAGTTGGTCACCGGCAACATCAATGCATGTTTCACTTGCAACTCTTTGTCAGATATGTTGGTTCTCCAGATATACTAGAACCTGTCTACTAGCAAGTTACCTACTTACCTCTCCTTGGCGTCATAGTACATGCCTTGCACTTGCTTCAATGTAGTAGTATTACATAACAGACGACATAATCTGAAAACCTCTTAAAGTGATTCCGAAGATATTACACATACAATGAAAAATATTCTATCCAAGATAAAATTCAAGGTGAGCCACTGGACCATAAACCATTCTAGCTCACCCCTGTTTCTTTCCTAGTAAACAATTCCTTAGAAATACGAAAAAAAAAAATTTCAAAATTTTTGCCTTGTAGCAACTGCGGCATTTGTCATCCTAAGTAAGCCACTGGATTATAAACCATCATACCCTATATGAACAGAATCTGTTCCAACAAAACTACTTCAATTCTACTAAAACATACTAGGGCTTTTTTTAATTTCCTGCCTTATTGTTCGTCTACGCTCCTGTGGGTCGTTTAAGAAATTCTTTACAATAGACTTATGATTTCACTAAACATCTGCTGTCCCGTGCACAGCCTAGTTCTCCTCGTAAACTCACACAGTTTGAAGATCTTCAATCCCTTAATTAGCAGGTCCGATTGGTGCTCCTTTCATGATCTGCCAACTATCCAAGATGAAGTTGAATTCTATGCTTTGCAGCTGCGAGTTCATAAGGTTAAGCTTTTTACTTGAATATCTCACTCATCAAAGAATCCCAGTATGTCAACCATTTGCAAAGTCAAAAGAAGCCCTTCTCATCTTCACTCCATGTTAGTTTTTAAGATGCCAAACTTCCAGAAGAATCCATACACAGTTACAAACTACGTGTCTGGCATTTTTACTGCAAGATTCTTCACGTATCACATGGCACTGAAGAGTGCCTAACAGTAATCTAGGAATCTTTAACTTTAGCTTCATGAATCATATCAATAGCAACCAAGGGTTGTACACCACACTTTATCATGTCATTACAAAGATTTTCAGCCTCTTTCCACTTTCCGTCATTGCAAAGAACTTGAATCGTCATGTTATAACTTGCCTCATTCGGAACTATACCTTTTTCAAACATTTGTTTTAGCATCATCAAGGCTTTATAAGAGTTACCCTCTCTGCAATAACCATTGATCATGGTATTGTATATTACATGATTGGGCTCCAAATCCACCTCAGACATTGATCTGAATAGCTTGAAAGCCTCCATCATATTACCCTCTGAACACCAACCGTGTATCAATACACCATAAGTACAAACGTCCGCAACCAAACCCGCCTTCTTCATTCCAGAAAGCATCTCAATAGCTTTATCCATGTCATTTGATCTAGCAAAGGCATCAATAAGAATTGTATATGTCACCTTAGACGGAGAAAAGCCTCTTTCCTCCAATTCTCGAACCAGATCCATAACACGAGATAGATTTCCAACCTTAGAGAAACCTGAAATTAAAATATTATAGGTAATTAAGGATGGTCTTAAGCCAGAAGACTTCATCTGATTCAACAAACTCATAGCTTTATCAACCCTCCCAGCTTTGCAGTACCCGTCTATGAGAGTGTTAAATGTGATCAAGTTTGGGCTCAAGCCACGCCCTTTCATCTGATCCACCAATTCCTCTGCATCCAACGCTCTCATATGTTGACATAACCCCCCAATCAAAGTATTATATGTCACCACATTACATGCCACCCCTCTCTCATGCATTTCATCAAACAGTTCAAATGCTCTGAGAATTCTGCCACCATTACAAAATTCATGGATTAGAGTATTGTACGTGTACAAGTCAGGCAATGCACCATCAGTCTTCATCTTCTCATACAACTCAAAACCATCTTTCTTAAGCCCTTTCTTGAAGAATCCATTAATCAAAACAGTGTAAGTGTACTGATTAGCAGCCAAACCCAACTCTCCCATCTCACAAAACAGCTCCTTTGCTTTCTCAATCTCACCACTTTTGCAACATCCATCTATCAAACTAGTATATATAACCACATTTGGTTTCAAATCCATCTTCTCCATACATCCCAAAGCCTCAAAAGCTCTATCCAAATCACCAATATCAGAACAACCCTTTACAAGTATTCCGAAACTATACTTATCCAAGACAACTCTTTCTTTCATTTCATCAAAAAAGCTCCAAACTTTGTCAGAATTTCTCATCTTGACGAGAAAATTCAGCACATTATTAAACGTGTTGGCTGTGGGTGCAAGGCCTTTATTGACCATTTCATGAAAATAGAAAAGGGCTTTTTCCACCGACTGATGTTGAACATAAGCGTTGATGATTGATTCATAGAAAAGAGAACAAGAGCTGAAATGGTTTTGGGTTGTCAAATGGGAGAGGAGAGAGGGGACTGTGAATGAAGTTGAGGAGATGCGGGAAGAAAGTAATTTTAGGACTAAAGATTGGGCTTGAGAGAGCTTGCGGAAGGAGAGGAGGTGATGAAGGATAATGGAGATGGATTGTGGAGTGTATTGGAAGCCCGACTGAGTTGCTAAGTTGAAAAGTGAGAGGGCTTTGATGGGCGGCAGTTTTAGCATCTGGGAGAGCACAGCCATGGAATGTCTTTGGGATTTCAGGGGTCTGGTAATCTGGTTATGGGTTCTGTTGAGAGTTTGGTTCACTATGCGCGCAGAAGAGCACAAGTTCGATTCCATGGATTTTAATTTTCACGAAAAATTTCAATTCAATTTGGAAGAGGAAGGATGAAAATTCTTGAGGAATTACTGAAACTTCCTGTTAATGATTGGACGGATCATAGATGGACACAGTAATTTGTAAAGTATAACATGCCATTTACATGATTCAAGTAATTGTTTTTAATCTATGTCTTGGAAAGATGATGATGATGTTTCTGGCCCTTCTTGCAAAATTTATATTTAACTAGTGACACATCTAATGTGTGTGTAATTTAAAAATAACTAGTGATTGAGGCATACCTCAACAAGTGTATAAAAATTACATATATGAAATTATTATGTCCTTATAAAATTTTATTTTCTATCACATCCTTTTATTAATATTTGAAATATTATTAGTATTAAACCATTTCTATGTCCATGAGGAATTAGTGGACTTCAATCTCCTCCGGATGATGGTATAGAAAGAGGAAGTTGCTTTAGGGGGCAATGTGAATTGATAACTATGCTGTTATTGCAGGGTTGTCCCACAATAAATTGGGACTATTTTACTCTCATAATTAAAGGTAAAATAGAAATTTCAAAAAAATGTCTCATAATTAAAGGTAAAATAGAAATTTCAAAAAAATGATACTTTTATGTTTACATCACATAACATTATATATTGTAAAAATTATTTTCTTTTATAAATTTGTAGATTTTTTATTTACACAAATAAATTTTATAAGAATTTTTCATTAACAAACTTTAGTTTATAAGTAACTTTTTCTTTAATAAAAAAAGATAGGAGTAATTTGATGGTTGCAATATTTAGGGATAGTTGTTAGAGATTTATGTTGGTAAATGTAATTAAGTGATTAGAGTAAAAAATTAATTTTTCTAAGAGTAAAATTTAAAGTTCAAAAGTTGATAGAAAATGTTTGCACCAATTGCCGCCCGCTCTTACTTTATGTATTGTATATAGTTCCTTCTCTATTTCTGTTGTTCGTGAAATTCCACTAATTAGTTGTTTCTCTTCAGTATATTCCTCTAATGATTTGAGTTATATTTAGAATTAGTGCTTTAAGCACATCCAATATGTGTGGGTGCAACTACTAAAAAGATATTAAAAAGATTAGAATTATTTTTGTTGAAAAATAGTAATTTAAATTAGTTCTTTTTTTTTTTTTTGGAGTGGTGAGAGGGAAATGGATAATTAAAATGATGTAATTATCTTTAAAAATGAGGGAACTTTTGACAATGCATTAAGTGATACAATTTATTTACACCAACGCGGAAAAAGATAACATTAAGGCTTTTTCATTAAATAAAGGTCATTCAAGAAAGAAAAAGAAAGTGACAAAGGTGATGCTTCTCAAGAAAATATCAATTTAAATAAAATGTCTTGACCCTTGCACAGGCTAATTTGAAGGTAAACATTAATGTATTGACACAAAGTGACAAGGATTTCCAAGTTAAACGACGAAATGTGGAGGCGGAAAAATATATAAGAGAGAATACCTTCTCTTAATAATTACATCGATTTTCAATAATGCCAGCACCTAGCACGGGTATTCACACTAGTCTGTAAGTATTTGGTGAGTTTAGAGCAATTCTATCTATGTATTCTCCCTTATCCTAATTCAACATGTACGATTGTAAATACAAAATATACAAAAGAAAACCACTCCCCTGTCCCTATATAATTCTTATTCTTTTTTTTTTCAAGGGACAAAAAGGCACTTTCGACGAGTTTCACCGCCAAAGACTATACGACGTCGTGGAGATCTCCTTCTCTTACTCCTTCAAATAAGATCAATGTACGATCAGTTTCTCCATTTAATCCTCTGTTCGACCCGTCCTTACGGTCAAGTTTCAAAGTTAGAATCCGATCGGGCTTCATTCTTCTCCGAGTTTCCTCAGGTAAGCGTCCAAAGCTATACTTCTCACTATGACGGTTTCATTCCGATTTCCAATGCCAAATTTAAACTCAATTAGGGTTCCGAATCCACAGATTTTTTTTTTCCATTAAAAGGAAAGGAAAAAGAAACCCTAACACCATCCCTGAAATTTTTTTTGCAGACGTCTGTTTCTCTGTAGCAATAGAATCGAATCAGGATGCCGGCCACAGCAGGAAGGGTTCGCATGCCGGCGAACAACCGGGTGCACAGTAGCGCTGCCCTCCAGACTCACGGTATATGGCAGAGCGCTATTGGGTACGATCCTTATGCACCCACGGCTAAAGACGATGGTAAGAAAGCTTCGACGACCAGCAAAGTTTCCGATTCTGCTGAACCCGAGCCTGAAAATGCCTATGCTAGCTTCCAGGGTTTGCTGGCTTTAGCCCGGATTACGAATTCGAATTCGGATGAGGCTCGTGGGTCGTGTAAAAAGTGCGGGAGAGTTGGGCACTTGACTTTTCAGTGTAGAAATTTTTTGAGCGTCAGGGAGGATGTGAATAGAGGGGGGAATGTTGACGATGATGTGATCAGGGAGGTGGTTTTGGAGAAATTGAAGGGGGAGAAGGTTAAGGGGCTTGTGAAAAAGGTAGGGTTGGAGAGTGGGGAGAGTAGTGAAGACGAGGAGGAGGAGGAGGATAGCGAGAGTTCGGATTCAGATTATGATTCTGAGATGGAGAGGATTATTGCGGAGAAGTATGAAAAGAAGGTCAATGGGAAAGCAAAGGTAGGCTCCAGGAGGAAGGCTGAAGAGGATGATGATGATGATGAGGATGAGGAAGATAGGAGGGGAAGGTCAAGGAAAAGGAGGAACAGGAAGAGGGAGAATAATGATTCAGAGGATGAGGAGAGGAGGAGGAGGAAGAGGAAGAAGGAGAGGAGGAACAGGGATGATGACGAGTCTTCTGATGAGGAGGACGAGTCGAAGAGGAGGAAGAAGAGGAAAAGTAGGAAGGAAAGGAGGAGAAGGAGGAGTCACAGGCATTCGTCTGATTACTCTGATGCTTCTCCTGAGGATTCTGGTGATAGGCGACGCAAGCGGAGAAGCAGGAGGACAGCTTCAACATCTGATTCTGATGATACTGGTTCTGATGATCCTCGGGTTGGCAGAGATAAAAGGAGGTCTGAGAAGAAGAGCAGGAAGAGTCGCCATGGAGACTAGTTCTAGTTGGTTTTTGGGAGGTGATACGTCACTTAACCATGTAGTTTCTAGTCCTGATGATGAATGCAATGACTGGTATTTGGGGTTCCTTTATGCTATCACTTCTTGATGTCTTTATTTGGGTAATAATTAGGTTTGAAGACCTGCTAAGAATATATTAGCAGAATATTTCTGTGTGAAGAGCTTGTGTTTGTGGCATGATGTTATAATTCGCTTAATGTACCTCTGATTGCTTGCTTGTTCCTATATGATGACAATTCAGAAAAATTTGTGCAGCACATTTTTATTATTTATAGTTGCTAACTTTTTATTACCACTTGATAATTGATTATAATATGCTCTTTAAAACATAGATAATGCTTTTAGTCCTGTCCCCTTGGTAATTATGGCCTGGGTTTTGTATTTTCTTCACTTCCAATCTCATTTTCTAGGCATCTCCTTTGGTAGGTTTGGTTCAGTTCAGTACATCGAGATGCATTAGTCATGTGCTTTGACTAGTCTAATTGTCATGACTTGGAGTATTATCTGGAATTACAGTATGATTTAGATCTCAATCTTGGTATAAACGCCCGTTTGAAGTGTCACTGAAGGATTTTGGCAATAGGAGGTCGTGCAATGACAATTGAAACCAAAATCTTCTGCATTGTGTGTTAAATGTAGGTTTAGAGGGTGATGTCATATTGACAGGGCATAAATGCCATGTGTTAGCATTTGGAATAGGAGTTGAATTTGTATAGCGTGCTGTGGTTCTAGACCAGCTGCCCTACCTGCTATTTGTTTAGCAAGGGATATTTTAATTTGTAGTTGTCCTTCCCTTGTAATGTCTTTCTGTTATTAGCTGTTATCTTTCGGCACCTAGATCTTCTGATGTTCAGGAGATGCAGGAACAGAAGGGGGTAAGGCAAGAGAGTAATGGATTGAAGTGCTTATGAGAATTGCAATTCTGATCCTATTTTTGAGCATATGATGGTTTTGTTTGTACAGTTGGCCATATCTTTTATCGATGAAAAGTTTATTTTCTTAATGTTTAGGATATTAACTTCTTAAAAAAATGCTAATCAACCATGCAAGTAGTTTGGGAGCTTAGGAGAGGAGGAAAAGGAAAGAAACAGTGTAAATGAGATAAAAGTAAAGGTCACAGATCCCACCTTTTTATTAATAGTTTAGGAGTTCAGCATATAGTTGGCATTATTCTGGGATACAGGATCAGGGGAATATTATTCTATAAAGCAAGAGTTGTCAAATGTGAAAATCATAGTTGGAGAAATAATTTGGTACAGCATTGACAAATTTGGGTATTGGGCTGTCTTTTAACTAATAGCCAAGAGATGGAAAATCGTCTTTCACCCTAATCAGCAGTGGAATGGGGATCTGACATTTACTCTGGAGCTAACTCAACAGATAACCCTTCCTGTTTATTGAGGTTTTCTATCTTTATGGTTCCTGGAATTGAAAAAGACAATTTTCCTTGGAGATGAACCCTTGCCAATGGTAGCTCCGTTTGTGTGCATGCAGCCCATCCTTGCTGCTTTTTTGTTAACCGACTCAAACATTTTCAGATTATGCTCGAACATTTTCTGGCGGGAATCTGGAGCTGTTCTGTTTGTCGTTTAAAATGCAAGTGCGAGCACCAGAGACCTTAGTAACTAATACATCAAAACGTGAAGTGGCTTTTACTCTATACATCTGGAGCTGTTCTTTTTTTGCCATTTCTGAAATTTACTCAGCTTCAATTTCTCAGCAAGGTTATTAAGAAATATAGGTCTTGGGTTTTGTCCTTCAAAGCATGAATATGTAACAATATTTGCAATCCCGGTTCTGATTTTATCAGAGAAAGTTCAGGACTTCAGGGTCATATTTGTACCTGTGCACAACAAAGATTTACGGGTTTTGAAATCTTTAGTCTTGAATTATCCGGCTGTTCTATATTGCACGTATCTTGGTTTTTAACTCACAATC